AACAGGGGCCAATATCTCGCCTAATTCTTGACTATAGAGAGTTGGTATCATTGAGAAAAATATTCTATATCAAATTTCACTATAAGTCACCGAACAAAAGAAACCGCTAAATTTTCGAAATACCACTAAAATTTCACTCCCAAAAAACGTTAATGTAATTAATTTGTATTATACCCCCTAGTGGCGTATAACTAATATTAATTTAAATCACCACTCACCATGGCGTATGCTTAATATTTATTAAATAATATTAAGTATACTCAACCCATAATAAATTGCTGTTGAGCTCTCTACCATTCATTTTTCATAATTTTTTCTTTTAAATCATAAAATAGTAACCCAAGTCATTATCCACCCCACAATCAAAGGAATCGTACACAAACAGCATGGATTTAAAGTTAAATCAAAAATCCCCCCAAACCAAAGATCAACAACGAATGACTTTCGTCGCACAGAAAAAAGGATAACCCACAAAGGGGAAGGAGATAAAAACAAGAAGAAGAAACCAGAAACAGAAAGAAATAACCAACAAGTGCCTTCCATGCCGAATGCTGCAACAAAAAAAATCTGAAAGTGAAATGAATGAGAGAGTACTTTAACACAATTTCCTTTGCATTAATTTTATGAGTTAACGTTGTTGTCATCGCCATCACCGGAGACTATGCGACTGTGTGATACATCCTGCCTGCCCCCAGGCGGTCGTCGATGAGTTGTTGTTTTGCGTTTCCCCCAAGCATTTGTACATTTGTTTGATACATTTCTTTTTAAAGTTCAACCTTCATAGTTAATCTAAAGGACATACAGCAATTCATCCTTGCGGCCAGAAGTTATGCTTCGGACCTGCCACCCTTTCCAGATTTTTATTTGCCGGAGGGGGATTTTTCAAAAACCTCGAGGTTACAAAGACACGTTTGTCTTTTGCTTCTTCACATTTCACTACAAAAGATTATTGTGGCATAAAGAGGGTAATGGACACTTCTTTGTAAATGGGAATCCCCTTTTTCCCTCCTCTGTCCTCTCTTCTTCTTCTTCTGCTCCTCAGATTGTAAAGTGTAAAAGCGCATAATTTCATTATAATAACCAGTCAGCTATCTCTTCGAAAATACGTTTTTGTTTAGCAGCCACGTTTCTTGAAGATAATGGTCTTTTAGGGTCATTAGGGTTAATAAGGTTTAGTTTTTTTTCTTATCCTGTACGAAGGATAACTATATCCTTGACCTATATTTATAAAATTAAGTAAGTGAAATTTAATATATTTCATTGGTTGGAGTTCAAGAGAACAAAATTTAAAAAATAGGAAGAAAAAATTAAAGAGAATTGCCAAATGACCAATTGTGCGTATAATTGATATTATCTAGGGATAATGTTGCGTATAATTAATTTTATTTGGAGGTAACATAGAGCGTATTAGTAATATTAATTAATAATATCATAGAAAACGGCCTTCAGCCATTTATTCAGGGGAGAATTTGGGCCCTAAGCGAAAGAGTTCGAAATTATCCAAAAAAAAAATTGACTTTTGCATATCTACTTCTTTCCGATTTTTTACCGATTATAGTAAGAATGCCGATTTCTTGTGTATGAAGACCTATAGTGAAATTTGATGGAGAATATTTCTTACTTTAGTATCATCCCGCTTAAACCACTTTTTAGGGGAAAAATTCGGACCTAAAGCGAAAAATCTCAAATTTATACCAGCAAATTTGTAATCTTTTGTGTATGCATTTCTTTTCGATTTTTTCCCGATTCTAGTAGACATATCGATTTCTGGTGTTCGGCGACTTATAGTGAAAGTTAATGGAGAATATTTTTTCCTTTAACAACATCCCGTTAAAACCACTTTTTAGGGGTAGAATTCGACCCTAAATTGAAAAATCTCTAATTTATTCCAAAAAAAAATTGTTCTCTTTTGTCTATGCATTTCTTATCGATTTTTTACCGATATTTAGCAGACATAGCGATTTCTGTGATTCGGTAACATATAGTGAAATTTGATGTTAAGTGATTATTTATACTCTTTCGAGTCGAGCTTGATGATCTAAATTTTGCAATGAAAAGGAAAGCCAGGAGAAGAACCTACGTACCCACCATTATGCGACGCGTTTCGCCGTTGGTTAAGCGGCTCATCAGGCATATTGGGCTATGTGGCTTTACAAAGGTCGTACGTTGATAACTTGTATTTATTCCGCCCTGATGCGAAACTTGCATATGCGAATTAAATTCAAATTTGTCAAAGTTCAACATTTGTCTTCATTCTAGGAACAGTCCTTTTCAAAGCAGATTTTTGTTGTAGCGATGGATAATTAATCCACACACCTACAATTGCTTCCTGGTATCCACATGTTTTTGCGCAACCGTTTTTGGAAGTGTTGATGGCTCAGAACGTTAAGCGGTCTTGGCAACATCTGTGTTGCTCTGAGGACCTAGGTTCGAGCCCTAGCCGTGCTCGGCTGAAATTAATTTTTTTGTTATTTGAATTTTTGTGATCATTTGAAAAGTGATTTTAAGTGATTATTTATACTCTTTCGAGTCGAGCTTGATGATCTAAATTTTGCAATGAAAAGGAAAGCCAGGAGAAGAACCTACGTACCCACCATTATGCGACGCGTTTCGCCGTTGGTTAAGCGAAAAATTAATTTCAGCCGAGCACGGCTAGGGCTCGAACCTAGGTCCTCAGAGCAACACAGATGTTGCCAAGACCGCTTAACGTTCTGAGCCATCAACACTTCCAAAAACGGTTGCGCAAAAACATGTGGATACCAGGAAGCAATTGTAGGTGTGTGGATTAATTATCCATCGCTACAACAAAAATCTGCTTTGAAAAGGACTGTTCCTAGAATGAAGACAAATGTTGAACTTTGACAAATTTGAATTTAATTCGCATATGCAAGTTTCGCATCAGGGCGGAATAAATACAAGTTATCAACGTACGACCTTTGTGAAGCCACATAGCCCAATATGCCTGATGAGCCGCTTTACCAACGGCGAAACGCGTCGCATAATGGTGGGTACGTAGGTTCTTCTCCTGGCTTTCCTTTTCATTGCAAAATTTAGATCATCAAGCTCGACTCGAAAGAGTATAAATAATCACTTAAAATCACTTTTCAAATGGTCACAAAAATTCAAATAACAAAAAATTAATTTCAGCCGAGCACGGCTAGGGCTCGAACCTAGGTCCTCAGAGCAACACAGATGTTGCCAAGACCGCTTAACGTTCTGAGCCATCAACACTTCCAAAAACGGTTGCGCAAAAACATGTGGATACCAGGAAGCAATTGTAGGTGTGTGGATTAATTATCCATCGCTACAACAAAAATCTGCTTTGAAAAGGACTGTTCCTAGAATGAAGACAAATGTCGAACTTTGACAAATTTGAATTTAATTCGCATATGCAAGTTTCGCATCAGGGCGGAATAAATACAAGTTATCAACGTACGACCTTTGTAAAGCCACATAGCCCAATATGCCTGATGAGCCGCTTAACCAACGGCGAAACGCGTCGCATAATGGTGGGTACGTAGGTTCTTCTCCTGGCTTTCCTTTTCATTGCAAAATTTAGATCATCAAGCTCGACTCGAAAGAGTATAAATAATCACTTAAAATCACTTTTCAAATGATCACAAAAATTCAAATAACAAAAAAATGAAATTTGATGAAGAATATTTTTTTCCTTAACAATGTCCCGCTAAAACTACTTTTTAGGGGAAGAATTCGGTCTGAAACACAAAAATCTCAAATTTATACCATCAAATCGGTCATCTTTTGTGTATGCATTTCTTTTCGATTTTTCACCGATATCTAGAAGACATATCGATTTTGGTGACCTTCGTGAAATTCCTCTAGTGAAATTCGATTGAGAATATTTTCTACTTTAGTCTCAATCGGCTTAAACCACTTTTTATGGGAAGAATTCGGTCTCTAATCGAAGAGTCTCAAATTTATTCAAAAAAACAATTTTTTGCGTAACTATTTTCTTTTCTTTTTTCAACCAATACCGAATGGTATAGGTTGAAAAATGTTCGGTAACTTATAGCGAAATTTTGTTCCTTTAATATAATCTCGCTTAAATGAGTTTTAAGGGAAAAATTTGGCCTCAAATCACAGTATCTCAAATTTATTCCAAAAATCTATTTTACATTTTATGTAGATTTTTCATTCCGATTTATTATATCATTCTGATTTATTATACCTACAAGAGAGATCGATTTCTTGTGTCCCGTGACTTATAGTGAAATTTAGTGGAGAATATTTTCCCCTTTAACATCAACATGCCAAAATCAGGATTTATGGAAGAAATCGGCCGAAAACAAAGTTTCTCAAAATTATCCCCCAAAATGTTATCTTTTGCCTATCCATTTCTTTCCGATTTTTTACGGATACCGAGTAGTCATACGAACTTCTTTTGTTGAATGACTTATAGTGAAATTTCCTGGAGAACATTTTCCCCTTTAACATCAAGCATATTCGACTATATATTTTTGGAAAAAATTGGGTCCTAATCGAAAGACTTTGAAATTATGCCCAAAAAAATTATTTCGATTTACGTATATATTTCTTGCCGATTTTTTACCGGTACCTAGTAGACATAGCGATTTCTTGTGTTTGGAGATTTCTCATGAAATTCTATGGCGAATAATTTGTTCTTTAAGATCGCACCGATTAAATGAATTGTTAGGGGACAAATTTGACTAATAATACATTTTTCAATTTGTGGCCCTTGTTGCGTATGATTATTTTTAATAGGTTTTAATTTCTGTCGATTTGAAATGATTTGCGTCTAACTTTTTTAATTTTTAATGGATTTCCTTCATCCAAAGGGTATTTTGGAGTACAAATATTGAATTTTTAATTTCAGTAATGAAATTTATTATATAATTTTTGATTAATATATAAATTTGCATATTAAAAATAATATTTGTAACTTCGATTCATTTGTTGCAATTATTATTTTTTTTATTGTGTATCCTAATGTGTCCCTTTGTTTTGTGTGTGTTTTCCAGGTTTCCAGTTCCGAATATTTTTGTGTTAGTTTTTGTAATGAATCCGGCTGTCAAGATGAGGAATTTTTCCCTGCCACCAAAGGAGTAACACTGGCGTAAGTATTTATCCCACTTTAATTTTGGTCCCACACTAATTTCTATACCTTTCTTTGTTCCGATTTTTTCAGAAATGCTTTAAGTCAAGCTTTAAGAAAACGTAATTTAAGTTTTAGCCAATTAACAATAACCGACAGTTATGACAATAATCAAACCTCAGCATTTTTGGAAGCAGGTAAGCGAAAGAAACCTCCTCCGAAAACTATAGAAATTTAAAAACTTATTTCCCCAGGCTCTTCACCCTTACAAACTTCACTGGATGAAAATACGGAAGTGGAAAACTTAGCTGGCCATCATTTGTTTGTCAATGACAAGGATAGTTCGAGGAAGATTCTGACAAAAGCAGCCTCATTTGTAAGATATGATCTGGAAGATATCCAAACTACAAATTTTAATTTCGTTTTCTCCCTTCAGAACTCCCGTGCCCGACCACCCCGCCTCTTGTCTTCCGCCTCTACGGATGAATCATCCGAAATTAATATAACCGGCCAAAAACAACCCAAACAGCGATGGTCTAGTCTATTTGCTGTCAAGAATCCGCAACAAAGTCAATTATGTGAACTGCTGAATAGTTATTCGAAGAATGGTGTACCCCAGAGAACTCCTGCCACGCTGAATTTTGATCATCCCGATTTGGATAATGCCATTGAGTATTTGGATAAAATGCATAAATCATGGACCGACTTTGTGGAATGTAGTTCAATGAATGATGCCGAGATGAGAATACAGACTGCAATATGGGAATTGGTGACAACGGAGGTGGATTATATCCACTGCCTGCAGACGGTGACAGATGTAAGAAGACCCAGCTAACCACTAATATAAACCTGAGCATTTTCCAAATTAAAATTCTTTTTTCTAGCTCTTCCTGGCCTGTCTGGAATCCGTGCAAGAGGAGGGCCTCCTCAAGGAAGTCGATCAACATCGCCTGTTCGCAAATATCCGTGATATTTGTGAGGCGAATTTGAAATTCTGGACTCTCTATTTGTATCCAATGGTGGCGCATAGCGTACAAACCCGAGAACCATTGAGGATTGGATTCTTTCAATCGGGATTTATTGCGTTTGCCAATCTCTTTGCTCCGTACAAAAAATATTGTGCCGAACAGAGTACCTGTCAATTCTATTGCAAAGAATTGAATCGTACCAATTCGCTGTTCACCTCTTATCTGGCATGGTGTGAGGCCCAGAAAATGTGTAATCGTTTACGTTTAGCCGATATTTTGGTGCGCCCCATGCAACGTTTGACAAAGTACAGTTTATTACTGACGGCTATTAAGAAACATATGACAGACATCGAAGAAATTGAGGCTTTAGAAATGATGGTAAGTACTGAAATAATCCTGAAATAGGAAAATAAAATGTATTTAACAGCTGATCGGATTTTAAATAGAGGTTGCCCTTCAGTTAGCACCTAAAAATATGCTCCAAGTTTTGATCGTATATCTATAAACATTAACAGATTCCAGAAACTCGTAATTTTTGGCTCGGTGGCCTATATCGTGTAGATCAAACTGACGTAAAGTTCACTAAGAAACCGTGAATTGAGGTCTCCACTTATATTTACCCCCTAAAGTATGCACTAAGTTCATATTACATATATTTCAACCTGAACTGTTTTCAATGAAACCCAGCCTCAATTTGGTTGCCTATGCAAAATTTCGCATCGATCGGACAGTCGTAGAGCCCCATTTTCATAAAATCGGATGAAAATTATGTGGCGAACTATATCGAAATCTGAACCGATTTCAATCGAACTAGCCACACTTCTATTCATATGTAATTCAGAAGCCTATACCGAATTTCTTGGCAGTCGGTCAAACATCGATCCTTTGATGCAACTTTTTCTTGAAATCGGATGAAAATTATAAAGGGAGCTATATCTAAATTTGAACTGATTTCAATAAAATTTAACATACAGTATTTTAGACTTAATTCAGTGGTATTTGCAAATTTTCGTGTCGTTCGGCCGAACTTTGGTCATTTGGTGCACCTTTTTCTTGAAATCGGACAACATTTTATATGGGAACTATATCGAAATCTGAACCGACTTCAATTAAACATGTCACATGTCTTTCTAGATTGAATTTAGTTTCCCATAGCAAATTTCATGCCAATCGGCTGAACTTTGATCCTTTTCTTGAAATCGGACGATGTTTTATTTGGAAGCTATATCCAAATCGGAACCGATTTCAATAAAATTTAACATACAGTATCTTAGACTTAATTCAGTGGCAAATGCAAAATTTCGTGTCGATCGCCCGAAAATTGGTCCTCTGGTGCACCTATTTCTTGAAATCGGATGAAATTTTACATGGGAGCTATATCGAAATCTGAACCGATTTGAATAAAATTTAACACACAGTGTCTTAGATTTAATTCGGTGACATAGGCAAAATGTCATGTAGTTCGGCCGAACATTAGACCTTTTTCTTGAAATCGGACGAATTTTTATATGGGAGCCATATCGAAATCTAAACCGATTTCAACCAAACTTTGCTCACATCAGTCTAGACTCAATTCCGTGATATACGTAAAATTTCGTATTAATCTGACAAACGTATCGCCATTGAGGTATGAATTACCCAAAATCGGAAGAAATTACAAAGGGGAGCTATAGGTGAATCCCAACCGAGTCCAATCTTACTACACACGCCTTGTTCTAGACTTAATTTAGTAGACTGTTTCAATTTTCGAGTAAAACGAACAAATGTGGTGCACCTATTTCTTGAAATCGGACCAAGATATATAAGGCGAGCTATACGTAAATCTGAACCGATTTCAATCGAACTCGGCACTCATTATCCTAGGCTCATTTGAGCCTGTGCCAAATTTCGAGTCAATAGGTAAACCGATAGAGTCTTTTGAGTTCCTTCTTCTTGAAATCCGACGAAATTTTAAAGGGGACCTATACTTAAATTTGAAGCGATTTTTATCAAACTTGGTACACGCCATTCTGATTTCAATCAAATTTGACACACTTTATTCTAGCTTCTATTCATATGCTTGTGAAAAAAATCGTGTTAATCTGATTAACACAGGGCCTTTAATGTGTATTTTTTATAAAATCGGACGAAGTTTTATGGGGGAGCTATATGGCCGATTTCAATCAAATTTGACACACTTTATTCTAAGCTCATTTGAGTAGCTTGTGCAAAATTGCATGACGATCAGCCACATATAGCCTGTTTTAAGGACATTTTTCATGAAATCCGACGAAATGATAAAGGAGAGCTATAAGTAAATCTGAAGCGATTTTTATAAAACTTGGTACACGCCATACTAGGCTCCATTCGGTAGTCGATATCAAATTTCGTGTCAATTGGCCAAACGTAGCGTCTTTGGTGCACAATTTACACAACATCGGACAAACATATATAGGGAAGCGATATCGAAATCTGAAGCGATTTACATCAAATTTGGTATACGCCATTCTGGGCTCCATTCAGTTGTATATTCCAAATTTTGGGTAAATTGGCCAAATGTAGCGTCTTTGGTGCATAATTTACATAAAATCGGACGAAATTATAAATGGGAGCTATATCGAAATCTCATCCGATTCCAACCAAACTTGACACACTTTATTCTAGCCTCAATTCAGTAGCTTGTGCAAAAATTCGTATCGATCTTCCATAAAAATCGGACGAAGCTTTATAGGAGAGCTACATCATCCTTAACTCATTTCAGTAGCGTGTACCAAATTTTGTGACGATTGGATAGGCATAGCCTCTTTGGTGCACCATTTAAATGAATTCTGAAGTTGGCGCCTAAAAGTATGCAACAATTTTATAAGGCAACTTGATGGACGAATAAAAGAAAATAAATAAAAACAATATAATTCCAAAATCGGTCTATATAACACCCCGTACAACACTCCGAATTTGCAATGGAGTCTTTGGTGTACATACCATTGACCTGAAATGCAACGAAATTTTTTAGGGGAGCCATAACGAATTCTGATGCGACTTAAATCGAACATGTGACCCCTTGACTCTTATTGTTTTTATTATTGTTTATTCAGTAAACAATTCAATAATAATTAATTTCCATTAATTTATTAATAAATTATTTATTATACATTACCATTAATTCTCCTTGATTTTTTTCCTTTCCAGATCCAAACCACCGAAAATTTTGTATTTAGTGTTAACAACCATTTGACGACCCGACAAGAAAATGAACGCTTAAAAGGAGTTATGGCTCGCATTGAGTCATATGACGTGGTGGTGAGTATTTGGAATTCCATTTGTCCTACAAATTCCACATAACCTCAATTAACTTCCCTTGCAGGACACCAACAACGAACATCTGGAGAAAATGATCAAGCAGTATAGTCAAATGTTTGATTTGTGTGCTCCAATGAAAGGCTGTGCCTCTCAGCATGTACGTCATCTCTTTATGGAGGGTGATCATCGATATAAAGACAATCTCGGCAAAGCCGATGTGCATTGTTTCCTGCTCACCGATATGCTATTGGTTTGCAAATCGATAGCCAAAAAAGGTCTGGGTACCTTGAAGGTGATACGACAACCCTATCTAACAGATCGGCTGATAGTACAACATTCCAATAATATTTTAAGTTGTGTTTATCTAAATGAATTCCAAGTGGCAGTTAATGCCTTCACTCTGCAATGTTCGGAAGCGCAAAAATGGTATGAGGCTCTGAAAAGGGCACGCATGATTTATACCCGATTGAAACAGAGTAGTATATCGACGGCCACAAATTGGGATGCGGCAATGCGTTTTGGTGGTAGTATGATCAGTGCTGGCACTGTTGATAGTCTGGGCGTGAAGAAGTCTCCGCTGAATTCTTCCATTTGTAGCCATGTGACAAGTGCTAATAATAGCCATAGTGGTTCGGTGGAATGGAATGATTCGAGGAATATATCAGTGGAATTTGATAAGACAAATTCATTGTCCAGTGATGAGGGGTGTGCTTATTTGGGTAAGGTGTTCTGAAATTCTTAAATTATTTATTGAAAATTAAAATTATTTTCTTTTAAATTTCAGGAGCCCATGGTTTTCCCTTGAAGGGTAAGCCTTTAACCACAATTAGTCCCCAAAAGCTGAAAGTGAATACCACCAGTTCCTCCAACACCCTGACCGTGCAGCCATTAAATCATTTGGGCCAAAGTCTGCCCAATTTAAATTTACATCACAGCCCTCCGTAAGTACCCAAATGGGATCCTAAAACATAATATTAGAAAAACTAGCTTTCATAGAGAAATATTATTTTTTTGTTATTGTATTTCTTTTTTGTTTTTGTAACACACAATAATTCTCAAGTAGTAGAATCCAGCTTAGCTGGGATAGCATACAATAACCCAGACATACTGCTCGTCATCATCTGCAGCATCATCATCGTAAACATCTTCATCTTCGTAACCATCATCATTGCCATTATCATGCCGCAATTGCCCTTAGATTTAAAACGAACAACAACAACAACACCAAGTAATGAAATGCATTTTTTTTAATTTTCTGATTTCTTTTTTATCTCTTCTTTTTTTGGATTCTTTCATTTTTTTTCAAATTTCACGCCACAAATTTTAATTGGCTTTTTTGCAAAACAAAAAAATCAATTTTTTTTTGTTGTTTAAACTTTGATGTCTACCGAACATCATCGATGATTGTATATCAATGTGTGTGTAACTCTGTGTGCGTGTGTGTGTATATATTCCTCCTGGCATCCTGATTTAGTAATCTTTATCATACTTATAGTAATAATACCCTATTGGTACCGGGTGCAGCCAATACAAGCAGCACACAATCGGGTAATTTATTATTATCGCCTAGTCATCGGGGTATATCATATCCGCCACCAAGTCCAACGAGGTAAGTTCAAAAATAGACAACCCTGTAACCAGTTTCCACACACCAAAACAAAGTTTGAAAACCTGAAAGAGAAATATTGAAAAAACTATGCGGAACATTTTTTCAGGGCGGAAGGTTACGAATTTGAAGAAATTGGGAAATTAAATGAGGCTCAATAAATATAGAGGGCCTAAATCTAAAATCTAGACCATATTTGGTGTTATTAAAACATCTTATCAATCGGAGGCCTTGGGTCCACCATTTACCTGAAATCGGATGTAATTATATAGAAGAGCAATTGCTAAATCTGAAGCAATCTCTATCAAACTCGGCACATAGCATTCTAGTTTTGCAGTCTGTGCCAAATTTCGTGTAAATTGGTAGGATATAGGGACTTTTTTGATAAATTTTCTGAAAATCGGAAGAAATTATATGGGGGATCTATATCGAAATGTGGACATTTTTGGAGCATCTCTAGACTCAATTCGTTAACCTAAATTTCATGACAACTCGGTCGGATATATGGTCTTTTGTGTTCCATTAAGCTAAAATCGAAAGAAATTTTACATGGGAGCTACATCGAAATGCGAACCGATTTTAACCAAACTTTACACACATCGATCTACACCCAATTTAGAAAGCTGTTCCAAATTTCGTGAAAATTGGTCGCATATAGAGCCTTGTGGTGCAGTTTTCACCGGAAATCGGAGGAAATTACCTGGGGGAGATCGAATAAAATCTGAAGCGATTTCTATCAAACTTGGCATACACCTTTTTAGACTCATTTTAGAAGCCTACGCCAAATTTCGTGACAATCGGTCGGATATAGGGACTTTGGTGTACTATTTATCTAAAATTTTAAGAAGTTATACATGGCAGCTATATCGAAATGTGGGCCGATTTCAAGCAAACTTGGCACACACCATTCTAGACTCAATTTAGTACACTGTGTAAAATTTCGTAACAATCGGTCGGATACTGGTCCATTGGTTTACTATTTACCAAAAATCGGAGGTTTTTTTACATGAGAGCTATAGCTAAATCCGAACCGATTTACATGAAATTTGGAACACATCATTCTAGGTCCATTTCAGTAGTCCTTGCCAAATTTCGTAACAATTGGTCGGATATAGGGAACTATATATGGGAACTATATCGAAATCTGAATCGATCTGTATCAAATTTGGCACACATCATTCTTGGCTCAATTTAGTAAACTGTTCAAAATTTCGTGTCAATCGTTCGAATATTAAGCCTTTAAAGCACAAATTTCTCGAAATCGGAAGAAATTAAACATGGGAGCTATATCTAAAAAATGAACCGATTTTCACAAAACTTGGTACACAACATTGTCAATTCAATTCATTAGCCTATGCAAAATTTCGTGTCATTCGGTGAAATACCGGGACATTTGTACACCATTTACCAGAAATCGGGCGAAATTATATATGGGACCTATAGCTGAAACCGAACCGATTCCTATGAAATTTGGCACACATCATTCCAGACTCAATTCAATTGGCTATGCAAAATTTCGTGGCAATCGGTCGAATATAAGACCTTTAATTCACTAATTACCTAAAATCGGAGGAAATTTTACATGGGAGCCATATCGAAATCTGAACCGATTTAAATCAAACTTGGCGCACACAATTCTCGACTTAATTAAATAGCCAATGCTGAATTTCGCCGCAATCGGTTGAATATAGAGTCCTTAAAGATAACATTTTCTCGAAATCGGAGGAAATTTTACATGGGACTTATATCGGAATCTGATCCGATTTTAATAAAATTTGGCACATGTCATCCTGGGTTCATTTTAGTAGCCTGTGCCAAATTTCGTATCAATCGGACCGACATTTAGTGCCCCATTTTTATGAAATCGTTCGGAATTATATAGGGGAGCTATATCTAATTTTGAACCGATTTTAAGAAAAATTTTATACACATCATTCTATACCGATTTCAGTAGGTTATGGAAAATTTCGTGTCAATCGAACAGTCGTATGACCTTTGGTGAACTATGAACATGAAATTGGAAATTATATTGGGGTGCGGATTAGGCACTTCTTGTTCTTCGAGGGTGAAAATTTTTCTTTGCAGAAAAATTTTAAACATGTATGAAGTATTTTCATGGTCCTGGCCAAATTTTCCAACCGAAAGGGCTACCAATCAATGTAAAATGTATTTTTTATTAAAATTCGACTTTACGCCCATATTTTAGGGTCCTCGGATATTTTGAGCCTTCCAGGAAAATGTGTTTATCTCATCTGTATATAAAGATAATTATTAACTAATTTCAACATTTTCCATCTCACACACAAATCAACATTTGTTATTAAAAAAAAATTGTCCAAAGACCCTCCCTCGCTCTATCTCTCTCTCTCTTTCCGTCCGCATAATTATTCCTCAAAAATTTAGGGACTTGGGGAAAATTGTGTATATTTCCTCTGTATATAAAAATTAAATCATCAAATTGTTAAACTAATTTCAAAATTTTCCATTTTTCAAAACAGAAAAAAATCTCCATTTGTTATTAACAAATTATTTTCATGACTCTCTCTCGCCTCTCTCTCTTTCCCTTACTCTCTAACATTACACAAAACATTTAAATAACACGAAACAAAATATATAATTAAATTAATTATAATTTTTATTAATTAATATTTTTTATTAATTTTCATTATTTTTCTCTCTCCCCCTCCCCTCTCCTCTCCCACAGAGTCCCCTTAAGACGTGGCAATGCATTTTCCAATTCCATCAAATATCCCCCGCTGTTGAAGACCCGTAACATCACATCCCAAAATAGCATTAATTGGCATCATATACCGGCCACACCCACCCCGACCAGTCCCCAATCGCAGCATGCCTCACCCAGCCGGCAGATTTTGGCACCAAATACCCCGGATAATGTTAGTGTGACGAGTAATAGTAGCACTAATTTGGCAGTTAATACTCTAACGGATACTGAGGCGGCAGCAGCCAGTGGTGGCAGCGGCAGTGGCGCCGGCAGCACTCAACAGCTGCACCAGCCACTCCAATCAAATCCCATCATCTTATCAACACAGTTATCGAATTCCACAGAAACGGATGTTTGATTCTTTTTCAAAAGGAAGAAAAGTCGATTTTTTATGAAAAAATGATAAACAACAACTATTGTTTTATAAAAAAAACATCCCATGATAGCAATATTTAAAACAATTTTTTACTAGCATACATTATTATAATGTATGTAAAGGCAATATATGATATAAAAAATAGAACAAGAAGAAGAAAAAAAAAAGACAACAAAATTATTGAACACAACAAAATGCTTAATCCAAAAAAAATGAAAACTAATTTTGAAAAAATATATATGTAAACCAAAATTAAATTTAAAATTAAAAATTTAAATTTAAAAACAAATTTTTAATATTAGAAAAATCCAAAAAAACAACAACAAAAATAGTAACAAATCAAAGAACACACACACACAGCAAATTAGCTTAGTTAAAATATATTACAACAAGAACAACCACAACCAACAATAATAGAAATAAAAGAAATTAAGAATTGGAAAAAATTTAAAAAAAAAAAATTTTAAAATAAGTTTAAAAAAATATATATGACCATGAAATGGACAAGGAAAATGAAAAAAAAATAATAATAAAAATGTTCCAACAAACCAAAGTCCTCAAAAGGTCAAAAATTCTGATTCTAGAAATTCGAAGGCAACGGATTTCAGTGAATTACTTCCCATCATCTAAAAAAATATGTTCATGGATTAAAGAAATATAATTTGAATTTAATTTTTTTTCAAAACAAAGGGGTTTGTAATGCACTAAAATCCATTCGTTTCGTTATCCAATAGCCTAGCCATGTATAATAGTTTTCTTTTATTATTATTTTTTTGTTTCAATAAATCCCTTTGCTTTGTAATTTTATGTAAATTTATATTACCTCCACCCCCAATTCTTTTGTAAATTTTGTTAATTATTTTTTACTTTTAATTTTCCTTAACTATTTTTAATAATATTATTTAAACACCAAACAAAAGTAAAATATCATGTTGTAAAAAAATTCTAATTTTTCAAAACCAGTATTTATGTTATATAAAAAAAAAACTAAATAAATAGAGAGCTAAGTGATTTCAAAAAAAAAAATAATTATCAATAAAAAACACAGATATAAAAATAAATGTTTTATTTTGTTTTTTATTATTATTAAAAAATTGATTTTATTTTAAAAATTAAATATTTGTTTTTAAAAAATATGTCATTAACAAAAATCACAAAACAAATTGTATTATATTTTATGTAAAAAAACCTTCTATTAATGTATGTATTTTCAGTTCAATTGGAAACCGAAAAAATATGTATAATGTAGCCAGCCTAAAAGTATGCCACGAAATGTTAAAATCCAATTGAACATCTCTGTAACAAATTTGCTTATAATGAATATTTCACTATAATTTTTGATATATCCCGACTTCCTACAGATTTGTTATGTTCGGTGACCCATAGTGAAATTTTCTGAGGAATGTTTTTTTCCTTGGCTCTATCCCCCCAAAATGTATAATTTTTGGAGATATTGTCCCAATCGGGAAATACCAAAAAAAAATAATTATATTTTCTTCCAATATATATACTAATATATTTGATCAATTATTTGCATATCCCGACTTCCTACAGATTTCTATTGTTCGGTGACCCACAGTGAAATTTGCTGAGGAATGTTTTTTCCATTGGCACTATCCCCCTAAAATGTATAATATTGGATAATGTTGTCCCAATCGGGAAATACCAAAAATGTATATATATATATATATATATATCAGTCTATTTTCCTCCAATATATATTAATATATTTGATCAATTTTTTGACATATCCCGACTTCCTACAGATTTCTTCTGTTCGGTGATCCATAGTGAAATTTGCTGAGGAATGTTTTTTCCATTGGCATTATCCCCCTAAAATGTATAATATTGGATAATGTTGTCCCAATCGGGAAATACCAAAAAAAATATATATATCAGTCTATTTTCCTCCAATATATATTTATATATTTGATCAATTTTTTGACATATCCCGACTTCCTACAGATTTCTTCTGTTCGGTGATCCATAGTGAAATTTGCTGAGGAATGTTTTTATACCCTTCACCACACTGTGGTACAGGGTATTATGTCTTTGTGCATATGTTTGTAACAGGCAAAAATAATCGAGATAGACCCATGGTTCCTTTTGAGAATATGCATAGAATCACTTTCTAAGTCGATTTATGCATGTCCGTCCGTCCGTCCGTCTGTCTGTCGATGTTAAATTGTAAACAAAGTACAGGTCGCATTTATGATCCGAATTGGATGAAATTTGGCACAGGTCACTTATTCGGCCCAAGGACGAACCCTATTGAAATTGGCAAAAATCGGTTCAGATTTAGATATAGCTCCCATATATATATTTAACCGATTTAATGTAAACGGTCCCTATATATCTTTCGATTTGCACGAAATTTGGTACAGGCTAATCATTTAGGTCTATAATGATGTCTGCCAAGTTTCGTGAAAATCGGTCCAGATTTAGATATAGCTCCCATATATAGTTTCGTCCGATTTCAGGTAAATGGTGCCCCAAAGTCCCTATATATCTTTTGATTTGCACGAAATTTGGCATAACGTGCTGAATTAAGCCTAGAGTGATGTCTGCCAAGTTTCGAGAAAATCGGTCCAGATTTAGATATAGCTCCCATATATAGGTTCGTCCGATTTCATGTAAATGGTGCCCCAAAGTCCCTATATATCTTTTAATTTGCACGAAATTTGGCATAACGTACTGAATTAAGCCTAGAGTGATTTCTGCCAAGTTTAGAGAAAATCGGTCCAGATTTAGATATAGCTCCCATATATAGTTTCGTCCGATTTCATGTAAATGGTGCCCCAAAGTCCCTATATATCTTTCGATTTGCACGAAATTTGGTACAGCCTATTCATTTAGGTCTAGAATGATGTATGTAAAGTTTCGTGGAAATCGGTTCAGATTTAGATATAGCTCCCATATATAGTTTCGTCCGATTTCATGTAAATGGTACCCCAAAGTCCCTATATATCTTTCGATTTGCACGAAATTTGGTACAGCCTAATCACTTAAGTCTAGAATGATGTATGTAAAGTTTTGTGAAAATCGGTCCAGATTTAGATATAGCTCCCATATATAGTTTCGTCCGATTTCATGTAAATGGTACACCAAAGTCCCTATATATCTTTCGATTTGCACGAAATTTGGCATAACGTACTGAATTGAGCCTAGATTGATGTCTGCGTTGTTTCGTGAAAATCGGTCCACATTTAGATATAGCTCCATTTTATTATAGTTTGATTTTAAGTACTTGACGCACCAAGGAACCAATAGGAACAAAACGTTCTGAAATTAGTATAACGTATCCTGTGACAAGTTTGTTTGAAATCGCTTAATATTTGGCCCGATTTCAAGTAAATTGCGCATCAAACTCCTCATGTTAGTCAGTTTGACATCAAATTTTGCACAACGTACAAAATTGAGCATAGAATTATGTAGTTTCGTTTTCTAGAAGTACAGACATAGCCCAACGGATTACCTATTTATATTTGTTTGAAGTCGATTTACATACTTTATGGATAGATCTACGTAGATTCACATTTAGATAAATATCACATATTTTATTTCATTCAAGTTCATGCTAATAGTCCTGTTTAATATACCCATAGTGGTGAAGGGTATCATATAGTCGGCCCCGTCCGACTTTACTACTTTCCTTACTGGTTTTCCATTGGCACTATCCCCCTAAAATGTATAATATTGGATAATATTGTCCCAATCGGGAAATACTAAAAATATATCAGTCTATTTTCTTCCAATATATATTGATATATTTAATCAATTTTTTGGCATATCCCGACTTCCTACAGATTTCTTTTGTTCGGTGACCCATAGTGAAATTAGATGGAGAATATTTCTTTCATTGGTAGCATCCCCCTAAAATGTATAATTTTGGGAGATATTGCCTCGAAACTAAAAATACTAAAAAATAAATATCAAGTTATTTTTCATCCCATTTATCATAATATAATTGATGCAATTTTTGGCATATCTACTGTTCCTACAGATTTCCATTGTTCGGTGACCTATAGTGAAATTTGATGTAGAATATTTCTTTCATTGATACCATACCCCTAAAATGTATAATTCTGAGAGATATTGCATTTAAACTTAAAATACCCAACAAATTAATATCAAGCTATTTTATTCTCATATATAATAATATAATTGATACATTTTTTGGCATATCCCGACTAATTACAGATTTTTATTGTTCAGTGAGCTATATTGAAATTTGATGGAGAATATTTCATTCATTGACGCCAACCCCCTTAAATAGATAATTTTGGGAGATATTGTCCAAATTTGAAAATACTACAAACATTAATAACAAGTTATTTTTCTTCACATATGTCATAACATAATTGATTGAATTTTTGGCTTATCCCGACTTCCTACAGATTTCTTTTGTTCGTTGACCTATAGTGAAATTTCCTAAAGAATATTTCTTTCATTGTCATCATCCCCCTAAAATGTATAATTTTGGGAGATACTAACTCGAAACTGGAAATACTCAAAAATTAAGTTAGTAGTTATTTTCTTCACAATATTTGATCATATTTTTTTGGCATATCCCGACTTCCTACACATTTCTATTGTTCGTTGACCTGCAGTGAAATTCGATGGAGAATATTCCTTTCATTGAAACCATCCCGCTAAAGTGAAGAAGTATGGGTGATATTGCCTCCTATTAAAAAATACCTCAAATTTAACACACAGTACCTATTTACTTCCATCTTAACTAGATTTCATCGATTTTGGCAAATACAGAGTTCCAAGAGTCTTCTTTTGTTCGGTGACCTGTATTGAAATTTGATAAGGAATATTTCTTTCATCGACATCATCTCTCCAACATGAAGTGTTATGGGTGCTATTAATCCCAATCTAAAAATACTGCACATTTAACACACAATACTAATTTCTTCCATTTTAATTAGTTTACAATCGATTATTTTTTTGGCATACACCGAATTCATAGTGACTTC